TGATAAATATTTTTTTTTCCAACAATATAAATGGAAGCAGTATGCTTGGGCCTTGTCAGATGGAATATGCAGTTATCAAATCAACTACATCTGTGGAAAGAGACAATGAGAAAGCTCAAAATCATCAGTCAGAATATGGCCAGAGGCTGACTGTGAAACAGACCATCAATTGCTAGTATGCAAGCTGAAGCTGAAGAAAATTAAAACAAGTCCATGAGAGTCAAAATGTGACCCTGAGTATATCCAACCTGAAATGAGAGACAATGTCATGAACAAATTTGACACACTGAACACTAGTGACCAAAAACTGGACACATTGTGGGGTGACGTCAAGAACATCATACATGATGAAAGCAAAAGGTCATTAAAAAGACAGGAAAGAAAGAAACAAGCAAAAGGGATGTCAGAAGAGGCTCTGAAACTTGCTCTTGAATGTAAAGAAGCTAAAGTGAATAGAGGAAATGAGGAAGTGAAAGAGCTGAACATAAGATTTCAAAGAGCAGCTTGAGAAAACAAAGTATTATAGAGAAACATGCAAAGATTTGGAGTTAGAAAACCAAAGGAGAAGAACACATTTAGTATTTGTCAAGAAAGAATTGAAGAAGAATTCCATACCTCAAGTTACAATATTGAAGACTTCTCTGAGCAAATATTGAAGAGACAAGGGAAGCATTAAAAGAAGATGGAAGAGAATTTCCAGCAAGATGGAGGACAAGTAAGACTCACTACACAAGCCCTCTAAAACAATATACAAGCAACCAAATGAAACAGACACAGACAAAAATCCTGGAACCCTCAACTTCACAATAAAGGTTAGAGAAGTGGACTGAGTGCTTGTGGGGAGGAGAAGCTGAGCAGAGACAGTGAGAGAGGGAAACTGTAATAGTTAAGTTTTTGTGTCAACTTGACTAGGTCAGGATTTCCAGTGGTTTAGTAGTTGAGATGTATTTATTCCCACAGCAATGATACCTAAAAAAAGGTATATTTAATTCTATGATAAGTGGCTGTGAACATCCAATCAATTAAAGGGATGCTTCCCCTGGGGGTGTGGCCTG